GAAGTGAGTAACTCCAGTCAGCATACAAACAACAATCAAATAGTCTATATAGAAGTGAGTAACTCCAGTCAGTCTACAAACAACAAACAACAAGTCAAAATCCAAGTGAGTAACTCCAGTCAGCCTACAAACAACAAAGAGTCTATATACAAGTGAGTAACTCCAGTCAGCCTACAAACAACAAAGAGTCTATATACAAGTGAGTAACTCCAGTCAGAATACAAACAACAAACAACAAGAGTACTGCCGGGAGGAACAATATACGCCCGTTGAATGCCATATAGAAGATCTGCATCATTCTAAGAGTGGTTCGTTCTTACATGCTATAAAAAGTGTAGGAGAAAATCTCTGGACAAAAAATCAAATACTGAAATGAACAAAAGGCAATAACTTTTGCAAAAATCGCCAAATCAAAATTCCTTAAAGGGAGACACAACTTCATATCATGATTAGAATGTATTCTAAGTTTCAAAGACATCGGTCAAAAAAAGTAGGAGGAGATTGCCGGACAAAAAAAGTTTACGCCGGACGATGCCATACCATTATACTCTCGTCAAATTTGACGGGCATATAAAAAGTCTATATACAAGTGAGTACCTCCAGTTAAACCTGTTCGTGCGGCCAACGCCAGTAAGAGATCATCTACATTGTGGGACTGCCTTTAATGTTCCCCATCGTAGTGATTTCATTTTCAAAGAAACCTGTTATAAGAGACCACCTGCAGTAAGACACCACTCTTTGCACTTCCCAAGGGTGGTCTTTATACATCATATACCAACTAATGGTATTCAAGCAACTGCGGAAACATTATGATCATTCGAAATGTTGATGTAAACAAACCATATTTCTTTTTATGACAACCAACTTGTATATATTATGATTCTTTTGTTCGGAGTAAAAAATATTTACCACGGTACTTTCAAATTTGAGATTCTCACATAAAATTCCAATTTTTACATTCTGTAACTCTATAAATAAACTTGCCTGCAGCTACTTTTGGCTGATTGCCAACCATGCCTACTGTCTGTCCATTCATCCGGGCAAAGCCCACTACGATGTTCTTGGCATAACTTGGCATTATCTCAAAGAATTGGGCATCGTCTGCAATCTGTATAATAAATATGATAAATTTACACTTGGTGTTTGTTACCATGATCAGTATATACACCTCGTCTATATAACAATGATTGTAATATATATTTGGTGTTTGTTACCCTGATCAGTATACACCTCGTCTATATAACAATATACTTGGTGTTTGTTACCCCGATCAGTATATACACCTCGTCTATATAACAATGATTGTAATATATACTTGGTGTTTGTTACCCTGATCAGTATATACACATCTCGTCTATATAACAATGATCGTAATATATACTTGGTGTTTGTTACCCTGATCAGTATACACCTCGTCTATATAACAATCATCGTATTATATACTTGGTGTTTGTTACCCTGATCAGTATACATCTCGTCTATATAACAATGATCGTATTATATACTTGGTGTTTGTTACCCTGATCAGTATATACACCTCGTCTATATAACAATGATAGTAATATATACTTGGTGTTTGTTACCCTGATCAGTATATACACCTCGTCTATATAACAATGATTGTAATATATACTTGGTGTTTGTTACCCTGATCAGTATATACACCTCGTCTATATAACAATGAT